CCCTAAACCTAACCCTAAACCTCACCCTAAACCTTACCTTAACTTAAATCGCGCTTCTGGTGGCGCGCTGTTGTCGGCTCGCTTTTGACATCGCGGTTTTAGCGCCGCGGTTTTGTCGTTCGCGGTTATGTCGTGCCACGGGGCAACAGTGTAAATACTAACTTTAGTTTCCCACTTTAGCTGCCAGCATTGGCTTAGCTGTATTGGGATTCTAGAAAAGGAAGCCCCCTCCCAAAAATTTGCCTACATTTCTTAATTTTACTAAGTGACTTAAACTGAGTAGCCAAATTGTTCAATGCTTTTAACACCATCACCAGTGGTTTAGATAACTAGGGTTTGTTGAAAAATCTCAAGTGGCTGGGGTTTATGCAACATACTAAATTAGCCTTCCGTACTCTTGGCACTCTCCAAATGAATGGAATCACCTCTCAGAATTCTTAGCAATAGCCAGGACAGTTGCTGGAAGGCACCCAAATTGAGGAAAATGTGCTGAGTCATAAATTGTGGAGTAACATCTCTGTCTAAGTTCATGCAATAAAGTAAGCCAAACAGAACAAACTACAAAATGGATTATGGCTTTGTCTATGCATTTACTTGCTTGATCCAAAGACCAGGCCATTCTTCTGATGAAGTTGAGAAATTATTTTAGAGGGGGGAAAAAAAGCAGTTTAATGTTTCACTATAATGTCATTTTAGTGAAAATACTTCATAATCCAGGATAAAGGCCACTAAGTAGAACTTTCTGGGGATATTTTTAATTGCAATTTTAAAGTTTCTATTTGTCCCCATGGTATTTCAAGACATGTTAACTTATGAAGAATAAATTAAATATTCAGATAATGATTTTATGGCTAAGGAAAGTAAATTTAAAATATTATAAGATAAATAGGTTTATAATGAGCTGGGGACTTTTTTTTTAAGCAGAGTGGCCAGTTCAGTCTCTTGCAAAATGATTACTTATTAAATTGGTTGTTCCCCCCCCCCTTTTTCTGCTATTGAGTAAAAGCATCTCTACTCATCCTTATGAAAGCAGAAAACAATACTAGTATTAAACATGCTATTCTTTTTGCTAGTCCTCAGTTCTGCGTTAGTTGGATTTCTTCTGATTCCCAGTGAAATAGTGTGAGTGTTCCATTCCTTGCAACCAAGATAATAGATTTTCTTATCTCATTTGTGCTATCTTTCTCCAATGTATAACCAACAAGGGGGTCTCCTGGTGGGATTTTCTTGTCCAATCAAGGCATTTCAGCACAAAGTGGAAGTGTCTGAATTTGGGGGATCTGCTTGGACTTTTCCAGATTGGTTCTTGCCATGATGATCCAAGTAGATCAATAACTGACTCTGAGTAACTGCTGGGTAAGCAAGGGTCTTGCTTCATGGAAGTCAGGGAGGAAAGTACAATACAGAAATGGACACATCTGCAACAACAACAAATGTAAGGCTGTTGCATCTAGAGCAGAGATGTCAACTTTTAGTAGTGCTATTGTTTGAACTCTGCTCATTTGAAGTGGCAAAATAGGTACATCAAGGCATCACTCATCTATTTCCATCTGAAGCCCATCCACACATGTCCCCCCCCCCAAAGCTCAAAAAATATTGTAGAAATGTGGCTTACCAAACTGGATGTTGTGTTCCTCCACCACAGGCACCAAGGCCTTCCTTGTGTGAAAGGAAATGCAGCGAAGGGGGAGATTGTCAGACATGAGTCCCCATTTTTCTACTCCCCATTGGCTACTAGTCAGTCTGTCTATGCCCCTTCTTCATTCACCTAATCCCAGAAAGAAAACGGTAACAAAGACACTGACATAGCAGCACAAAACTGCAGCATGGGAGACTGAGAAGTGAGTCCAAAGTATCTACTCTGGGTTAGCAAGAAGATAAGAAAATTTAGCCACTCACTGGGATTACCCTCCTGTCCCACTATCCCAATGCAAGGATGCCCTGCTGACAGTTTTAAAGACATATTCTCATGACATGGCATTGTAGCCTCTTCCGCCCTGTTTGTTTTTAGTTCTTTTGGTTTGAACGTTGTGTTTTTCTTCTTCTATCAACACAAGTCTTGCCAAATATTAAGTAATGCCTCTCCAACAATATTGACACATTCAGGAGTAGAAACTGCCCAGTTCCCAATTGGCCACTGTATGTTTGTTGGGTATGCCCTATTCTTCTCTGCCAGTCATTGGGCACTCCCTCGCTGCCACTTTGGCTTAGACTGGGCACCTGGTTCCCACAGAAGCATTTGCTCATGTAATGCTGGGTTGCTGCTTCACAGAGCACCATTCATGCATTGCACAAGGCGTAAGCCTAGTATTTTTTTGGAACACCGTTAGGCCTGTTTTGAATTCTGCTTCATGGTTTTTTGAAAGAGCAGCAGAACCCGTTAACAAACAAGACTATGCTCACTGTGCAGAAGGTCAACTGAAATTGAGAAAGAGAGGTGTATAATCTGCCATCTCTGTGTTGTTGATTCGGACCCAAACAAGGGCATTATGTTTTCACACCTTCTTCTGATATGTAGCCATGCTATCTACTGTTTATATTGTACATTGCACGGAGGCCTTCAGTGAGGGAAAGGGGCAGTTCTTTATTTATTGGTAATAATATTATAGTGAAAGAGGGTACCCTTTGCATGTCCCATGTTGAATACAAATGTCATTGTATGTATTCCTCACAGCATGAGAGGCTCTTTTGAAGACATTTACAGCATTAGAGGCCCCTCTGAAGTCAGAAGCTCAGCTACCACATATTCAGGAAATCCCTTCCCCCCAGTTCACAGGTTATGAAATTGGCTCCAGGAAAGTGTGTATTTTCTCTTTCCCAATATCTAGGAAAACTACACCTTCTGTTATTAAACTTTAGTTTAATGGTGTTTTATGGATATTAATTTTATGTTACATTTTTAATTACATGCATTGATGTATTGGTTTAGTTGGATAATTGCATATTTTAAATTGCTTGATCAGAGGCGGGATATCATTTCAACAGTACATAAAATAAATCCTGAATCTGAGTTAATTAATTACATGTGGGCATAACATAACATACTACATCCATATAAATCAATCATTTTGCAGCTCAACAAACAAACTTTCTGATCTTCCGGATGTGTGGACTTCCACTCTCAGAATTCACAGAAATTGCCATATTGTGTTGGAAATCCTAGGAATGGACTTGAGGAAGGTTCAGGAAAGCATGTTTAACACTTAAACAATGGCTGGGTTCCCACAAAAAGCTTAAACAGGAACTACCCAACTCCACTTTAATCCTCCTTGGTGAGTTTTGTGAATTCAGCCTTAGATATTATGGAACCAAGATTCAATTAAAGAATCAGTGTTCTTCTTCTTCCGCGTTACATATGAAGTATAGGTAGTCCTCCACTTACAACCACAATTGAGTCCAAAATTTCTGTTGTTAAGTGAGACATTTGTTAAGTGGGTTTTGCCCCATTTGCTACCATCTAAAAGAATCAGTGGATACTGGCAGATCTCAGTTCCTGACCAAACCACCAACCGTATTCTCAGTGATACGTTGTACAGGTAGTCCTCAACTTATGACCGCAATTGATCCCAGAATTTCTGTTGCTAAGTGAGACACTTGTTAAGTGAGTTTTGCCCCATTTTACGACCTGTCTTGTCACAGCTGCGAAGTGAATCACTGCAGTGGATAAGTCAGTAACATGGATGTTAAGTGAATGTGGCTTCCCAATTGACTCTGCTTGTCAGGTCGCAAAAACAGATCACATGACCTGAGGACACAGCAATGGCCATAAATATGAACCAGTTGCCACTCTCTGGCTTTTGATCACACGGCCATGGGGATGCTGCAAAGGTCTTAATTGTGAAAAATGGTCATAAGTTGTATTTTTAGTGTTATTGTTACTTGGAATGGTCACTAAATGAACTGGTATAAGTCAAGGACTACCTGTAGTTCCGAAAGAAAACTCATTTTTCCGCCAGAAAATTTAGAACCGCAGCAAGAGCAGGCAGCTCTCAGTCCGAGGCGCAGATCGCCCATCTGCCCTGAAAACGGATTCGCCGATCCCCCTCAAAAAGAAGCGGGAGAGGGACGCCAACGGGCTAGTGAAACAGCAAAGCCCCCCACCCCGCACAGTGACACGTTTATCTTCCAAGCCCCCCCCCCACTTCTCACGGCCCCTTCTGCTGGAAAGGATGGGGCTGCGCGGGAAAAAGAGGCGGGGGACCCGGGCGGCGAGCGTCGGTGGGGACGCCCCCCCCCCCCCCCGCCCGGAGTCGGGATATCGCAGCTCGCTGGCCCGGCTGAAGGGTCCATTGGACGGGAAAGGTGAAGGTGACGCCCCTTCCCGACAGGCGGGCTCTGTGGGGCAGGAGGAGGGAACTTGCCATGGGACTCTGTCCGCCCCACAGACCGCCGCGCGTGCCCAGCCATGGCTCGCAACTTCGAGCTCCTCTTCGAGTCCCTCGGGCACTTCGGCAGGTAAGCGCGGAGACAGGGAGGTTAGGAAGGACGCGCCGGTCGTGGTGGTGGTGGGGAGACTCGCTCTTCGCTCCTCTTTCTCTCTGGCACGGGGAGTAAGGAAGTTGGGTGGGTAAATGGTCCGCGCGGGACTGGGGGCGAGGGACGCTCGGGATCGCAGGCGCGCCCGACCTTCCACTTTCCTCGCTCCGGAGCAGCGCGTAACCGCGCGGGAAAGGCAAGGGAGCTGCCTGGCTTTGCGCTCCAGGGTGAAACACGTGGCTGCCAGGGGGAAACCGATTTAGGCACCTCCAGCAGCGAATCCCTCACGGCACCCTAGCCCGATCCGTGGGGTTCCCCCTCCCCGCTTCTCTCAACCCAACCGCCTGGTTTGCAGGATCTGCTGGATTACCGCGGGGATAGGCTGGTTTGGGACTCAATATCTATTCGAGCAAAACCCGAGAGAGGTCGCTGGTAGCTTGGTGACTAAATGGAGATTTGAACCGGTGGACCCCACAATCCTAACCCAGCACGTGCTTGTGACTTTTAACCCCTGAATTTCCTGACAGAGGAGGAACGACGTTGGCTTTGGGGAGCTAGAGTTGCCCGTCGATAGAAACGGGTAGTGGAGTCCTTGGCGATCGCGTGTTACCTGCGAGGGAAGCCTCGGATTTAAGGCTGGTTTGTAGTTGTGGCTGGGGTGGCGGCGACGGTGATTACGCAAAGCGGAGGCTGCTTTTATTGCGGAAAATTCTTCCCTTAATCTGCTAGATACCGTTATAATTATTCTGCACAGGCTGAAAGGAATGCTCTGTGTCCTTAGATCAAGTTTGGGTAGAGAACTGAGGTTAGAAGCTAGTGGAAACTAACCTTTGAGGTAATAGGTGCTGGAGGCTTTGCGACTTTATGTATTCAAGCCATTGGGAGTTCGAAATACTCAGCGTTTGAATGGAGGGCATAGGCGTGTGACTCAGTATGGGATGATATAGTCAGTAAATCTCATCTATTTGTGGGATATGCCCTCATCTGTAAGACCCTCCCACATATCTGTGTGTAATAACATGTTTATTTGTAGCCTCAATCCTTAGTAAGATTGAGGTCTACAAAATTAAAATCCGATGGGCAGCTTCTGTATAGTTGATCAAGGCTGAACTACTGTAAATTGGTCAGCTTAATCAGGATGAATAAATAATAGAGGTACGATAAACTGTTGATGTTTAATGAATGAACTCTCCATCTGTAGTACAAATACTCCTCAACCAATGACCACAACTGAGACTAGAACAAGGCAGTTGTTAAGTGAGTCACACCTGATTGAATATCCCTTTTTTGCCAAGGTTAAGTAAATCACTGTAGTTTGTTAACTGAATCATGTGGTTGTTAAGCATATCCAACTCCCCTCATTGATTTTGTTTGTTGGCTGGGAAAATCATGACTAGCGATCAGTCATGGCCCTGGGATGCTGCAACCATCATAAATACTTGCCAGTTGCCAAGTTCCTAACTTTTGATCACATGGTTGTGGGGATGGTGTGATGGTCATAAGTGCGAGGACAACTTGTAAAGCATTTTTTCCCCAGTGCCATTGTAACTTTGAATGGTTGCTAAACAAATGGTTTAAGTCGAGGACTACCTGTACTGTTGGAGCAGAGTGCCAGCAAATTTAGAACGTTTGATTTCCTAGAGATGAAAAAGGAGGATAGTTATAAGTGAAATTCAAAATCTTGGAGGAATCTGTAGCATCTTTTCTGACTAACTTTTTGACTAACCTTCTGATTGTGGACTATCCTAGGCTTAGCAGGGTTCACCGACAAAAGGGCGAATGACAAAAGCGCGCCTGACTAAACCGCGGTAACAAAACCGCGAGTTCTAAAGCGCGCCGACAACAGCGTGCCGACAGAAGCGCGCTGTAACCCTAACTCTAACCCTAACCCTAAACCTAACCCTAAACCCAACCCTAAACCTAACCCTAACCCTAACCCTAACCCTAACCCTAACCCTAACCCTAACCCTTACCTTAACTTAAATCGCGCTTCTGTCGGCGCGCTGTTGTCGGCACGTTGATGACATCGCGGTTTTAGCGCCACAGTTTTGTCGGCGCACTTTTGTCATGGGCGCATTTGTTGGGTCACGCTTAGCAGGGCCCTCCTTCTATAATATCTAAAGTGAGGTTGTTTATTTGGAAGGAAAAGAATTGGACTTCTGAAAGTACTTGTTTCTTTAAAAAACCTACTACATACTTCAATATTCTCCTAGAAAGCAGGACAAAGAAATAAACAGTGCAACTCTTTCATACCTATTAAGCCTCCACTAACAATGGGCTAAGAAATTTAAAACTAGAGTGTGCAAAGTTAGGAGGGCGGTTTGTAGTTCTGTTAACCAGGAACTGGTTGCATTGGTTTTATCTGCAAAGAAAACATATATTTGTGCAAGCCAGAAATGATATTTTACATGAAGAAATATAAATGTACTAGGTTTTATATTAAGAACCAGATCAACCAACAGGAGGTCACTGTGAAATAGTCACTGAGATGAGTGGTTAGATACAAAAAGTTACCTGTTGCATTGGTTCACACATACATACAGTCTGTGCCCATAGTATAAATCTGTGCCAAAGTTCCTAATTATTTATTGGTGCACAGTATTCAGTTTAATACTTTTCATTTACCTCTGAGGAATACTGTGACTAAAAAAAAATGCTAGGCATATATACGTAAATACAAAATAGATTACTTGCCATATTAACCATGACTCAAGGCGGCTTACAGATTATAAAACCCCATATAAAAGCAATAAAACTAATAAAAAAGAGTCATATAATAAATTAATATACTGTTTTCTGGCTTTGCCCAATACTATATTGTAAAACCAACTACTTAGGTTGGATTTACATAAAATGCTAAACTAAGACATGGTGGTTTCTTGCACTATGGAAACATAGCTTGTTTTTTAAACTGGCAGTATTAAACTGTTGAGAATCAGGGGTCATCTAATCTTCAAGTGGCTTTCTGTCAGAGACCAACTCTCTACTCCACAGAGCAGGATAGAAACGGTGCTTACAGAAACCAGAATATTTATTTTAATAGTTGGTTGAATCCAGAAATCCAGAGTAATCAAGAGATCATTCTGATTTTAACTGATTTATTCTTAAGGATGACTAAATTTGGACACCCCCATGTTTGCACCATGTAAATCCAAGAAAACTTGGGTAACCAAGTGAAAACAGAAGGAAAGTGTCTGTGTGCCCCTCATTATTGACAGTTTGCATAATAGTTATGGGAAGGTTTACTGAATGGTGCTCGGTCACAAGTTCTGTCATCCCAGATAACAGCCAATATTCCAACAAGATGGACACTGGACACCAATCGTCATTTGGTGTCTCACGATCGAGAAAATCAGCCTTATGATGCAAGACAGAGCCATTTGTGGATTTTTGAAGGCTTGCATCCAACAAATAACAATAATTGTATTTTATATGATAAAGTTTCAAAGGGATCCAGGTAGATAGAACTTGCAAGAGATAGCAATAGCTCTTAACAATAGCTCTATTATTTTGTTCATTTTTAAAAAATTATGCCTCATGTATATTGTCATTTGTTTATGGTAAGCCACCTAGAGTTATAAGGATAGCTGGCATTCAAATGTGTGTAAATTCACAAAATAATACAGGTAGTCTTTGATTCACAACAGTTCATTTAGTCAAAGTTACAACAGCACTGAAAAAAGTGATTTATGACCACTATTCATGTAACCTTTGTAGCATCCCCATGATCATGTGATCAAAATTCAGATTCTTAGCAATTGGTTCATACTTACAACCATTGCTGTGTCCCAAGGTCATGTGATCACCTTTTGCAACCTTTTGGCAAGCAAAATCAATGAGGAAGGCAGATTCCCTTTACAAAGGAGTTACTAACTTATCAACTGCAGTGATTCATTTAACAACTGTGGCAAAACCCACTTAGCAAATGTCTCACTTAACAACATTTTGGGCTCAACTTTGGTCATAAGTCAAGGAATCCAGTGAGAAATAATAAGGAATTCATTGAAATGAATATCTGACAAAATATTTAGGTGTTAATGCATCTGGCAAGGTGGATTGGCTCCATTACAGTGCTGATGGGTTCACTAGTGGAAGACCTGAAGAAACAGGTTAGGGACAGATTATCACAGATAAAATCTATGTGGTCACTAAAGGTTGACATTGACTTAAGTGCACTTAATCAGAATGCAACTGAAAATGGTACACAATAGATATATTTGTATACAATCTGACGAAATTCTTTTCCTGATTCTGTAGCCACTTTTCTGCAGCGGGCACTCCTTGGAAGCACATACCAAACCAAGTGTGCCATAAAGCAGTGTATACAAACACCACATTGAATTTCAAACATTTTTTTTCGACATATCTCTTCTTGTCTTCTTTCTCACAAATGATCTCTAAGGCTGAAAAAGCAGAGAACATTATTTGTTTGTTTGTTTGTTTGTTTATTTATTTATTTATTTATTTGACTTATATACCGCTTCATAGGGCTTTCAGTCCTCTCTAAGCGGTTTACAGATTTTTTTAGCAAATTGAGTCAGCAACTTGCCCCCACAGTCTGGGTCCTCATTTCACCCACCTCGTAAGGATGGAAGGCCGAGTCGACCTTGAGCCGGTGAGATTTGAACCGCTGAACTGCAAATCACAGTCAGCTGAAGTGGCCTGCAGTACTGCACCCTAACCACTGTGCCACCTCGGCTCTATTATCCTTGATTATGATAGCCAGTTGAGGCCACGAGATTAGTAAGGCCACACCTGGAATACTGCATTCAGTTTTGGTCACCACATTATAAAAAAGATGTTGAGACTTTGGAAAAAGTGCAAAAAAGAGCAACTAAGATGATTAAAGGCCTGGAGACTAAAAGCTCTGGGAGTTGAAGTCCACAAGTCTTAAAGTTGCCAAGGTTGGAGACCACTTTTAAAGAAGAAACTGGACAGCCACCTTCTGAAATGGTATAGGTTCTCCTGCTTGAGCAGGAGGTTGACTAGAAGACCTCCAAGATCTCTTCCAGCTGTATTCTGATTTATTGATTGATTGATTGATTGCTTAATCCCTTAGATGGTCAGATGAAAGCTACTTGATGGTATTATTGTTCTTGTCTGTAAATATGTTTTCAACCCACCCATCTCCCACACATTTTTCCCATGTTGATTTCCCTCTAAAACTGCTAGATATCCTCATCTGCCATTTATAAGAGCATCCAGAAAAAGATTAGAAAATGACATGAAGGAAGATAGGGGGACAATCTTCAGCCCTTTGGCGCAGTCCAAGCATTGCTGTTAGTTTAAGCAAATTGGAAAGAAGTAGAAAGAGTTTTTCACCTGCACAAATTGTGCTGCTGGTTGTTGTGGGTGGAACTGAGGCCTCCAGGATAGGCATAGCTTCTTGGCTTGGTGCCCCTTTCTCAGTGAAGAGGCATTTCAGCCCTTAAGCAAGAGAAGGATGAGAAAACTTTGTTGGGGATTCAGAACCTGCACATTAACCGTGCTCTAAATTTCCCTGGTATTTGGTGACTCGAACAATCAGTGGATGTGTATATGGGTGGGGGAGAAAATGGATTGGATTTAGTATGAATATAAATAGCATTTTGGAACAGATAGTTGTTTGGTGATCTTGATACTTGATCCAGTAGGTTCCTAACATTTTCAAATTTCAGGGCAACAGTGTAATAAAATGAGTGTTGACTTGGACTGAGATTTTCTAGGTCAATAATATTCATAACTAAACATGATTCAGCACAAGGTACATCTTGGCCTAATCTGTCTGATAGTGTGGTCTATAAACGTGACATGGAACAGATATTTTGATATTTGTACCAAAATCACACAGTAAGGAGCCACCCATAATTACTGAGATGCAGAAAAAATGGATAAAACACGAAAGTGCAGTAAATTAAATGGACAAGTCCCTGTGTGAACCCTTGGGGAAGAAGAAAAGACAAGTGAATCTTATAAAGAACAGCACAGTTAATTTTGATTTCTGTGTTGATCCTAATGCTCATATTTCTTTTTGTTCCTGCTCAACAAGTCATATTTCTTTCTTCTGTTATGCACATTTCAATGCTCTTGATTTGTATACAGAAAAGTCCTGCTGTGCGCAATAATCTACAGCCCTTAAAGTGGATGCTGCATGGTCTACATCTTGCCACAATTACCAGTCTCTGGACCAGTAAATTGGCTCCATGTGACTCTGTTGTCTGTTAACCTACTAACATGGGTACTAAGTTAATTTAAGATTTTGGACCACTGTCTTTTTCATTAATTTTCAAGCCATCTGCTGCAATGTTTTCTAGCCATGTTTTCCATATAATTGTAGTTCTTTCTTAACAAAAGTTGGTCTGGAATTTAATATTTGCTGTAAGAAAACTTTTAGGTGAGTCCAAAATGTATCTGCTGTGCAATGTAGATAAGCAGAATATAGAATATTTTTAGCATCTTCCAATTATGCTTTCCTCTCATTCCAATTGGCTAGAACTTCCCCAATGTCTGGAGGGGCTATTTCAACAAGAATTTACAAGTTATTTCTTTAATATACACATCATTTGTAAGGCAATTCTAAAACAAGACTACTCATGAAATCATAGTATGTTCTTATTGAATACATAGTGACTGAACACAAGTAATACTGTATTTTAGCTTGTTTGGAAACTATCTCCAGCAGCTTTGATTGGGGTTGTGCATGCTTCTTTTTGTAAATTAAATATTTTTCAATAAAGTGCTTTGGCTTTCTGATGTATTAATTCACACAGTTTCTGAATTCTTACATTGCTCTGTTATGAAGATTTTATTAACTCTTGTAACAAATGGATTACCTGCATGGCAGGAAGTGGAGTGTACAAATCTATTCTGCAAAATATTACTCTGCTTCAGCTTGTTAATCTAGCTATGCTAGCTCAGAATTCCAAGAGTTGTTGCCGTCTCTTCACCCCTGGATTGCAGATATCCAGCTGGGGAAGGCTGCTATGCTCAGCTGAAGGTATTTTTACAGATTTCACAAATCTGTACTTTTACAGATTTCTTACAGTAAGAAATGACTAAAGTTGTCCTCCTGTGACACCCAGAAGCATACAAAGAAACATCTATGGTGAATTGCTTGGACCCAAACGGAATGTGTGTGGAGTTCCTTTTCAGGCAGTTTTGCAATTCATGAAGAGAAACATAGTCAACAGTAAGGCACAAACAACATTCAGTAAAAGTATATGAGCAGTCATTAAAAAACTACTGTACTGAATGAAGGTTTCCCCCCATTTTGTCTCAGTGGACAGGTCATGTACAAGAAAATGGATGCCAGTATATTGGAGAAGTGACCATTCAAGCCATACAAGGATCATATAGGGAACAAAGTGCTTATGTTTGTGTTTAACCATATAAGCAGTGGTGGGATTCAATTTTTTTTACTATCGGTTCTGTGCGCTTGGCTTGGTGGGTGTGGCTTGGTGGGCGTGGCAGGGGAAGGATACTATAAAATCCGCATTCCCTCCCGATCAGCTGAGACTCATGAGGCAGAGAATAGATGGGGGTGGGGCCAGTGAGAGGTAGTATTTACCGGTTCTTCGAACTACTCAAAATTTCCACTATCAGTTCTCTAGAACTGGTCAGAACCTGCTGAATACTAGCAATAGCAATAGCAATAGCAA